ATGTGAAAAAAACGTCAAAACACAATGCGTTATAATTAATCTTGAATTGTACATAATATCCAAGAAGAATAGATGTAATTGTCGAATAAAAGAAAAGTAATTAATAATTTTGTATAATCTAGACATGCTTGACAAACTTGCACATTCAATCTTAGTATTAAGATGTATGATTTTCAAATTATTAAAGTTCTTCATCTAGGGGATTGCGATTAATTAATTAATTATAATATGAGGAGTTACGTTTGGCACTTTTTAAAAATCGCAAGGTCGGGCTAGCTAGAGTGTTGAATTTATATATGACGAAGAGTTGACACATTTGACCCCAAAATACGGCTTCTCACCCCTATTGAGGAGGTTTTATTCTTTATTATTCTAATACGACTTATTTTACTCTTATTTTTTTGGAAGAAAACATATTTAGGATGTATTATTTGAACACATCACACTAGAAAAGTCAAGATCCTATCAAACTAGACTTAAATTAACTAAGCTAGAACAGACCGGACTTCAAAATTGTAAGAGCACATAGATGAGACATCCACCAGACTAGTTCTGTCCAAACAAAACAAGACTAGTTCAGACTAGATAAGACCAGATCAAAGCAAATCAAAACAGACTAGATTAGACTAGATCAGAAAATTGCAGTTCAAGTAAAGATATCAATAATCTAAATTGACAATGTTACTCTTGTTTTCAGTCTTAATTTCTTTTTACTAAACCTAGGTTCGATTAAATTTGATCACTACATTTAGTTAACCTCATCACATATCTAAAATATAATAATCCGTTAATGTATGTGTGGGCTTGGTGACAAAAAACTCTCTCCTTCCTGACATATATTTTCAATTATAATTGAGGTAATAAAATAATTAATAATTTTGAAATGTTTTACCAATGTATTCCTCATTAAGAGCCACTCTTCCATTAATGCATGAATGCTTTTAAGGAAGATAAATTGAGAGAGAAAAGTAATGTGCATGGGTTTTCGATCTAAAATACGGAGTATGAGCATTGGAGATTTGGACTAATGATAAATATGCGCTACATAGCCAAGCATTTACTCAGAATTTCATGACATATAAAATCTAAATAGATGTCTAAATAAGGAAATTATGATAGATTGTAATAATTGATTAATGACAATCCAGTGTCTAGTGACTATACACTGATTAATGGGAAATAGAAGAATTGAAGAAGTCCCACAAGTAAAACTCTCCATCACTCTCAATTCTCAAGAAAGTCAATTCATCAAAAAGTTCAATTTCAACTTGCACAAACTCCGAAGAAGTAATTCGTGTAATCCTTATTGGTATAACTAGCTACTCCGTATATGCGTGGTAAAACGATCAGCAAATCACAGAAAGGTATAAACAATTTCATCCGTACGTACATATTAATGTTTTGCTTTATTAATATGTTAAAATCAAAAGCCCGTTTGAAGGTTCTGACTGAAGTGATTGTATTAGTTGATTCTGATTATTTAATGAAAAAATCATATTTAAAATATATTTTATTGTGGGGTAATAAAATAAAGAAAAAATTATGTATAAAAAAAGTTAAAATGATCTCATAGAATAACTTCAATTGAAATAGTCATAAAAGTAACTAATTATAATCTTATTTTATCTTATTATTATGCAATATATCGCGTGAAATTAAAAGCTACTACATATATGTTTAGTGAAAAAGTTTAATGGTAAACGGCATAAATTGAAAATAGACTAATCAAAGCGTCTCTAAAACATACTCGTGGTATTCTTTTATTCGAAATTTCAAATTTCACTACAAGCCAAAAGATTGTACTACCACCAAATAATCAACCAAATAAATCAAAAACGAAAACGATACCAACGTGTAGTGCTACCACTACGTCTCACGTGAATCGCGGCACACATGCACGCAATTTTATTAATTAGTGTAGAGTCCCTTTCATAATAGTGGCGGAATGAGTTTATTTTTTTGAAATTTATGAAATACTCCGTACTACCTAAAGTGTGTGGATTCGTTTATCGTTCTAAATTATGAAAAAATTGTGATTAGAATATATTTTGTTTAAAGAAAAAATTACATGAAAAAGTAATTAAAATAATCGTCTATAATGACTTTATCTAAAAACTAACGCACATTTACTTATTTTTGGTTATTAAAGGACTCATAAAATCGAAAGTTACGTGTATGGTGAAAAAGTTTGCTGATAAAGCTAATTACCGTAGCAATTTCTTGATTACTCTTTTAGCCTCAACTTTTGCAGAATTTATTGACTGCATAATGCGCAGTAATAATTTATAGTTGGTTATTAAGTGATACTACTATACCTCCGTGATCGTTCTTAAATAGTTGTAATATTATAATTTACACTATTCACATGTTCTAAAGTGATCGGCGAAATAGTTGAATCATAAATAGTTATATTTTCAAAAATATTACTAAAAAAAACTTATTTACACAAATATGATTAATAGTCACTATATTAGTGTTATGATAACTGAAGTTTAAAAAACAAACATAAGTTATTATGATTCCATTACTACTTTAGTGACTAGTCATATTATGTTATTATTTCTACTAGTGTAGTGTATTGTAATTGGTTTAGTAATAATAGTGTAAAGAGAAAAAGTACCGAAAATGTAATTGTCTTTTTTAATCCATTGTATTAGAAAAGTACGCTAACTCTTATTTATTTTATTATTATAAAATTCGACGTATGAAAAATAGTCTTCTAAAAAATGAGGGAAAAAACTCCTGTAATATTACTTCTAGATAAATAATCGACAAAAATGTGACTCAGTAACTATTAGTGATGATAATTGTGTTCAAAGTTTACATCATAATAACTACATTTGAATTTTGAACACAATTATAGTCACTAATAGTTACTAAGTCACATATTTGTCCAAGACCTTTTTATTAGTAATATATTAAAGGAAAAAATCCAAAAAAATAAAGCTAAAAAGGCTTTTAACACGAGAACATGGATTACAAATAAAACACGCACTGACTAGTTTTTTTTAAAGTCGCACTGACTAGTTATTATTTGAAGGGTACGAAAATGGTAGATTTGGTCCTGTAACTTTCGGTTATGTGTGTTTTTTGTTCGGTAATTTTATTCACTTGCAGATTTTATCTATAACTTTATATATTTGTCTCTATTAAATTAAATAATTGCCGCCAAAAAGTATACTTTGTGTTGGAAAAATCCTTAAACAAAGGAGAATAACTCTTCTCTAATATTGATCAGCCTATTAGACAAAGAGGACGTACACCCTAGAGGGAGGTGTCCAAAAAGAATCGATATATCTCCTTATATAAATGATCTTATATTTTTAACTATTTTTCTCACAATGTAAAAAAGAATGTTTAGATGTAAACAAGAAAAGTTACCAAACACATATAAAATCATGAAAAGTGGGAGAGGAATTTAATTGATTTATGTTTATGTGTTTGTCACTCTTATCTTACATGTGCACCGTGCACATGCATTGGAGAAGAAGCTCTTATATTTCACTCTTAGTAATACATAAAGTTTATGTGTGTAGTGTATGGTCTTCATTATGGACACGAAAAGATATATTTGGGAATTCCATTTTCTTTGTCGAAAATGGGACCAATATATATAGGAGCCGTTCTGTTCTGTTTAGAGACATTTTATACGTAGGCCGGATGTAAGACAGTTTTGTGGCATTTTATTTTTTAGTGGACTCATTTTTTCTTGCTACAAGCCAACAACCACTCAAAACTAGACCGAGAACCAAACTTTTATAGTCAAATAGTCCATAGGTGATTTAGAACTAAAACTGAATTAGTTAAGTCAAAATTCGCTATTCTCTAAATGGACTATCGATTAACTTTAGTGCTCCAACAGTCCAACATGAGACAAAATCAACATGTATCCACATTATATTAATATTATTAATGTTGCTTCCCTCAAAAGCATCAAAGGTAGCAAAGGTTTCATCAAATGATATCACACCGATGAAATTATATAATGATTTATATAATGATATCAAATTAGGTCAAATAAAATTACACTAAATCTTACTTCGACGATGGTAAAATACCCACGTTACATACATCTATCATAGCACACCGAATTAAATCAGATCAGACAACACCAGAGCAACCCGGTCTAGACGAGACTATATTTATATAAAAGAACAGATCAAAAAATTACAGTCCAATTAAGGGTATGTTTGGCTCAACTAGCTGAAAAGATACTTTTGTGAGCTTTTTAGTAACTGTTAGCTTTTAGTGACTGAAAAGATCTTAAAAAGAAAATGTGATAGTTGTTTGGTAAAAAGGTAACTGTTTGATTTAATTCGATTTGGTATACAAGTTGTTAGGAGTAAATAATACTAAAAGTCACGAACTTTTCTCAGATGCTACACCCGGTAGCATCTCAAAAAAAGATCTTTTAAATTTTGAAAAATTCTTAAAAATGTCATGCCAAACATAAAACTAGAGCCTTTTAAGGTCTTTTTAAAAAGTAGAGTAGCTAGAAGCTAGAGGCTTTTGTGTGCCAAAAATAGCCTAATAACATTATATTCTGGATGAGCCGGATTGTTTTGCCAATACTTCATCTCATATTAAATGCAACAACTTTGAACTTATTTACATGTAATATTTCTCCATTTTCCTCTCATGTGTGTTGTATGTTTGGCAAGTATAAACTCAGCTTCTAAGATTAAATAACCACTTCGGCTTTGTTATGTCAAACAAAGCTCAAACAATCACATACGATAGTACTACATATATAGTAAATAAATTAGATGTGTTATAACTTTATAAATATACGGAGTAACATAAAATTGATAAAAATATAAACTCAATTCATAAACTTGCACATAAATTTTACCAACAAAAAAAACTTGCACATAAATTCTGAGAATATAGAAGCTCAAAGTTAACCGTGTTGATTATCATCTTAATGTATTATTATAAGGAGTATGTTTGTTCCATTACTTCCATAGCTTAACCATCGGCGGTAATATAATCCGTCCTCTTCTTCTTCTGATCTGCCATAGGCAAACAAACAGCAATCGCAGGTGCTCAGCTGTGCAGGCGCCGTCCTCGTCTCCACAAAAAGCCAAACCCCTTTTTTTGGCAGATTCATCAGCCTTACTTTTCTTTCATTCGTATATACCCACACCCAGTCGTACGATCGGATAGTAGTAGTAGCAGTTGCTCTCCCTCCATCACTTAATTCATCTGTCGTCTCTGTTCTCTCCATCTCCCCCACCCACACATTCTCTCTGGCTCCATCCGAGACAACAAAAATGGTGCCTATAATCAATCGCCCTCATTCTTTATGCCGTTTCATTCAATTTGCCCAGAAATGAAATAATAAATTTGTCTGAATGTGACCCTACGATGGTATTAATTTGGTCGGTTTTGATGATTTTTTTTTATTTGCAGGCGTCGGAGGATTCGCAGCAGCTTCTGATATCTTTGCCTGGGTGGCTGGCTGCTCTGTTGAAGGAGAAGTTCTTCAGCCCCTGCTTTGTTCATGAAGAAGAGAGGAAGAACGAAAAGAACATCTTTTGCTTGGATTGCTGCGAGGCCATTTGTGCCCATTGCTTGTTCCCTCTTCATCACTCTCACCGTTTCTTGCAGATTCGGAGGTATATCTACCATGATGTTCTCAGGCTCAGAGATGCCCAGAAATTGCTCGACTCTGCTTTTGTTCAGGTATGTTGACATTTCCCATTTCTTAGAAATTGGGTAATTTTTTTCAATTGGTTTAATTTCTTCATCGTCTTCCTCCTTGTTTTGGGCAGTCTTACATCAGCAATGGAGAAAAGGTGATGTTCCTGAAGGAAAGGCCAATCACAAGGCCTTGCAGAAGCTCGGCCAAACCATGCATCACCTGCCAGAGAGCAGTTCAAAACCCCTTCGGTTTTTGTTCCATCTCCTGCAAGGTTTAATTCTTCATCAAAACTCTCTGTTTTCATATCAAATGTGAACCGGCCGGAAAATGCGGTTGCTGAATTATTGGGTGTTTGTTCCCGATCTTTTTCAGCTTCAGCACATGGTGAAAACAGGGGCGAAATTGTCCGATTACATCCGCAACAACTGGGACTCACTGGTTCTGCCGGAGGCGGCGGCGGGGGACGATGCCCAGATGACGCCGGAGACTGTTCTCGAGCCGGCGGCTTCAAGCAGCGCGGAGTCCGCTTCAAGTGTTAGCGCCGGCGGCGGCGGATTGATGGACTGCCGCCGTATTCTTGCTAGCTTAGCCGCGACGGCGGAGATAGTGAGGAAGAAGCGGAGCAGTCTGTCGTCGTCTTTCCGGTGCTCGCCTCGTCCGGCGACGGTGCCGGTGAACATGAGGAAGAACCAGAGGAAGACGGGTATGCCGTACAGATCTCCACTCCATTGATCCTGTTGATGATTAATTGAGGATGGTAGAGATTAGTGATGACGTTTACAGAAAAATGGTGGGTTTAACAGATTATAAAGGAGATTGCTAATCCTTTTTGTTGTTGCTATGATTAGATCGAAAAATTAATTAGATAGATCTTAACATTGCAGCAGGAGCCAGTAGAGACTAGAGAGTTTGTATTTTTGACGTCATTGGATTAATTAAAACTCTCTTAGCACCCGCAGTAATTGTTATCAAGGAATTATATTTTGCAGATTTAATGTGGATTATTAACCCATTTATGTGGTTTATTAAAAAAAACATTTATGAGGTGAAGTTGAAAGCTAGCATAGGCTCATAGCAAAAACTATGCTGCCGTATGAGTTTGAGTTTTACATTGTATCTTCCCTTTTGTTGTATGAGTTTGAGTTTTACACTGTTTTGATGACAAATTGTGTTTTGGGGTAAGTGTCACGCTTCCGACCCCGAAATTTGAGATTAGTATTTCAATATAAAGCTTGTGTCCCTCTATCTCAACAGAAACTACTCTGTATCATACCAAGCGATAGTTCCGTCAAAAAACATATGCTAATTGTAATGAGAAATATAAACTATCACGGAGTTGTGATGAAGTAGTTTTTTGGAGTTAGACATGTTACTAATATTGTACTATACTTTCTTTGAAAAGTGGCATTGATAACTTTTTGTGAAGTACTATCTATAAATTATATTTGTCCAAAGTTAAAGGTCAAAGATATGAGAAAACTCTAACATGCCGGATGACCATTATGGATTGAAGGCTCTTATCTTGAGTAAAAATTCATTCACAATATACATTCAATGTTGTTCTCACTAATTGCAATTATTTTGTCAAGAATTTTGCATGAAGTAGTAAATTCTTATCAAATTTGAGCTAAAATTGTGCAAAAGTTGTTAGCCACGAAGAAATATCTCAAGATCTTGACAAAAAATGTGTTTCGTGATAAAGTAATGCCAAACGCTTTGATTTTTTATAATAGTATGATAAAAGTTGGACATAGTAATATTATACTTTTATATTACAACAAATTTTGTGGCACGGCGTTTAGCGTTAGACATCATGATTCTGGTTTAGAACCGAAATCGTGACCATTTTATGGCATAAAAAATAATGAAAATTCTAATCCAAAATCAGAAATGGTCCAAGGACAATTCATTTCTAATCCAAAATGCTCCCTCCGTCCCATTTTAGATAGCCAAATTTAACTTTTTAAGTCAATGTTATCTAACATTGACTAATTATATATTTATATACAGAAGTATTGATAATATGAAAATGTTATTTGTTAAAAATAATATCATAAAAGTATAAAATTATTAAATTTTGCATAAATGCATTAATTAAAATGAATGGTCAAAGTTCATCATCTTTCATTGGAACAGTTAAAGATGGCTAAATAAAATAGGACGAAAGGAATATGTCTTTCTATTAAAAAGCTTTTTACTGTTTAGAATTCTCATAATGAGTTCAAAACTGGACTTTTAATTCATAAATGTACATTACTTGAACCCGACATTGAATAATCTGCACGGACTAGACATAATAGACTGATGACCACTCAATCCCGACCCGACAAAACGCGTTCCCACCAGTGCGCCAGTGCCCTCCTTAAGAAAACTTCTGAATCCGTCACTAAACTCACTTATCAATTATTGTACACGGAATTGACACAGATAATTCATGTTGTTACACATCTTAAAAAAATAGTTCCAATTAGAAAAATTGTCAATAATGATTCCAACTATTTATCTGTTTCACAAAAGTAAATGGGAAGAGTCTTCAATGCAATTTCTCTTTAATTTGTTCACGCGCTATTGAGCCTCGACCGGCTTACATTGGGGAACCTCCCTCTTTCGCTGGAGCTCCTCGTTCTTCTTGTTAGCGGTACAAAATGTAGTCAACTTGATCCAAAAAACAAGTGTTAGTAAGCAAGCTAGGTAAAAAAACAAGGCTAGCAGATGGGAACAAAGCTGGGTAATTAAGGGCTGGAGATCAATGAATGATAAGATCTCCCGATCATTGGACGGCACTAAGGATGAAGTGAAATCCGCTGCTAATGCTACCTCCACGATCATGCATCAAGCCATCAAATGACTTAAATCCTACTGGTGATATGACCCAGCTAATGTAGATCAGCCCAAGATTATTTACTTACTCATCGGGTTGCCTGACCCATTAACATTAGTGTTGGTTCATTAATTGGGGCAAGCCCAATTACCATTTATTTAACGGACATATTGTAAACGCCTATAAAAAGGTCATCAACACTCTTGTAATCCTAAGCTATTTTCAACATACAAAATTGTTGTTGTTATTTCTCTATAGCTTATTTCGTACCAACAAGTACTGCATCTACGATAAAAAGAACTATGAGTGAGTTAAGAATAAGTATAACTAATAACATGAATTGGTTGGACTTTCAATAAAAAAAAATAACGGGAAACAACCTCAGTTGTCACCTTAAAGTTTTAAAACAAGGGGATAATTATACACTTTTCTCATAATTTAAAGTGAGTATTATCTTAACTATAAATGTGCATCGTCATGAATCAGATTTATAATTGTTTCAATTGTTATGATTTTTCACGGGAAGAACGATTCTCAATTTAATCGTACCCTATATTGATATGTCTGTAGGTTCAAAACTAGCACGAGCCAGAAAATTGAGAATAAGTTTTAGTTTTTAATCACTTGAGAACAAATGAATTAGATGGTTCTTTAATCAAAATACATGTGGAGTAATACAAAGTGGATCATTAATAGGTAAAAGTGCAACTCATGATTGTTAAATAAATAATGAATTCTTTTGAACTTGTGCACAAGTTAATTATTTTGCAATACGATGTACTTTGGTTCTATACATTTACACTTTTTGTATATTTTGAAACACTCTTAATACAATATTTTCATTAAGATTCTTCATAATTACTAAGATGACATCGTTTTTTAACTTAAAATTGATCACTTTCACTCATTTTTCACATGAATGATCAAAATTAGTTTTTATTTGTTACAAGAAACACTTTGTGTTCAAACCAAAATCTATACATACAACTATAAATGATGTTACTAAATATACGTGATATTTAGTAATGAAGTTGATAGAGACGTTATGAAAACATGTGTGTACCGTATACATATATACACAAGATAGAATCAGAACAGGAAACAAATATTCCGGTCCCTCTATTTGTCACGCCGCAATGGCACAACCGTAACTATAGCCAAGTTTGGTTGACCAATTTCTAATTTCAGGTCAATTTTGATTCTTCGGCTTATTTCTCAAAAATAAGCCGATCAGCTCCCAACTTGAACCAGTTTGGACTTTTGGTGCCATTCTGGTTCCCAAGTAAAGAGCTGGTCCAGATCACAGATTAAAAAACCGACCTCTAAGGCTCTAACAAGTTCCCGACTCCCATATTATTACTGTTGGTTTAGGCTATGTTTGGCACACCATTTCAGCCCATAATCGGCTGAAATTTTCCAATATCAGCTAATTGTAATATCATTAAACTCGTTTGGGAGAAAGACTGATTTGAGAATATGCGTAGCGTTTCGTTCAGCCCATTGATAGCAGACTTTCGCAATCCAAGAATATCCCTACCGTCACTCTTATGTTGCTCGTACTCCATTAAAAACGGATTCTTTTTTGCTTGAAGAAAGTGATAATCACAATTTGGAAAATATCTACGACCAATTTGCAAAGAGGATGATGTGCTCCTAATAACATTTCTCTGGATTGTTCTTTAATTTCCTCATATATACGTAGTATATTACCGAGTACGGAGTATAATTTATTATAGGGAAAGTTCCCGAAATAGGACTAAAACAGTTTGAAAATTCCAAAATAGGACTGTCATGTTTTTTATTCCCAAAATAGGAGTAATTACTGCCAAGTTTGGAAAATACTGCCATGTTTGAAGTCTGGTACTGCCAAAACATGGCAGTAATTAGTCCTATTTTGGAAATAAAAACATGTCAGTCCTATTTTGGAATTTCCAAACCTTTTTAGTCCTATTTTGGGTAAATTCTCTTTATTATATCATATTTTATTATATCATACTATCGTATTATATACATGTATAAATTGACAAATATTACACACGCATACATATACTTCGTATTAATAAAATATAATAAATATTTTTTATTCTAATAATAAATCTTATGCCCTTTATGGTAATTTCATATTATCTCTGCATTTTTCAGCTCTTTTTGCCAAACGGATATACTCCATTCAATTAACGGTTGAGATTCAGCACTTCAATGTTCAGCTCCAGACAATAGTCTTTGGTTCAGACAATAGCCCCTAATTCAAACTTTAGTCTCCAGTTCAAGCTCGTTGTGTCAAACATAGCTTACCAATGTGATTATGTGAGAATGAGAAAGTGGGAAAAGCTGCCTACCAATGGGCCTGTTTGGCAATCGGCGGTTAGCGGTTAGCGGATTGAGTCAGCGGGTTCTAAATAGCGGATTGAGTCGGCGGGTTTGACCGGCGGATCAGTTTGGCGGATTACAGAAAGATGTCTGGTAACTTAGTTGTTTGCTTTTAGCGGTTAATAGATAAAAAGACAAAAAAGGATATTAGCACATTTAAATTTTTTTGTTTGTTTAATACTAACGTATGATGTTAGCACAAAAAAACATATTCGAATCATATACTTCATACATAATTTTTACTACGTATTTAAGAAGAAACAAAAAAACAGGATTTTAAAATAAAAACCAAAAGCATGAGCAACCACAACTGTAATCAGAGACTCAACTCAAAATCCTCACTCTTTCACTATTCTGCATATGCTCTTTGTTTTGAACTGCATTTAATTTATACTACATAATAAAATAAAATATGGAATGGAAGGTGCAGTGTGAGAAAAGAAAATGATTTTTGGTATGCAATATACGCAGCGCAGTATAGCTTTGTGGCAATCAAGGCCAGTTGCCCATACCCACTTTAGTTTTTGAAATCATGGCATAAATAGGGAAGGTTTATAAATACCTACCTGGCCTGGTGATTCTTTTCTTTAGAGAGGCGAAGAAGGCCTTGCGAGAGGGAAAGGCCTGCCTGACAACTTTTGCTTGGGAGTGTGCGGAGAGTGCGGAGTATGGAAGAAGAAGAATACGAAAGGGTACGGTGAGAATTGATAATTTATCCCTAATCGCTGATCCCTAAACGCTCCTCTTATCAGCGTTTTAATTTTCAGCGATTTGGGTCAAAACGCCAAAGTAACTCACCATTTCCCAAACACCTATTTTCAGCGGTTTGACTAGTTAAAAACGTCATTTTTGGTCAAATCCGCCAAAATTTGGCTGAAACGTCATTTACCAAACATGGCCAATGTGAGAAGGCAGGAGGACATTTTTATGTGCGAGTCCTTTTCTGACTAAGAACGATTTAAGTTTTAAAATATTGATTTCAATCCAATCCATTCAAAGCAAAATGCACAATGGCAGGGTGATGACGTAGTCTCTACAGCTGCAAGTAGAATGAAACATAGGATGCAAAGTGCTGAACTCCACTAAATTGCCTTAAATTTACCAATGTTTAAGATATGTCTTCACCTATCTGGCCTTCATAAAACCTTTTACACTCAATATATATATTAGTCTATTAATACATCCAGAGTATCCAGAATATCCTATATATTAGCACTCAATATATATATTTGATATTCGGGTTTCTATGCACAACAATGAAGAAAGTTACAAATATTAATTATAGGATATTCCCATGTAAAATGACATTATGCACAGGCTACAGACCACCTTGTATACAGATATCTCTTATTGCCACATCGATGTATTCCAGCTTCACTACACCTGGATAGCTACAAAGTAATTATAATAATAAGACAAAAAACTGCCATTAGAAAATCTATATGAAATTTTAAAAAAAAAAAAAAATGGGGGCCCTGGGCTCCCTGGATATGCCCACGGCTACAATGCCAACAGCTTGGTATACTTGCATACCGAAGTAATTCAAAGAGCTTTAAGGTTAGAGTGAAAAACTAGTTTTTCCCATAAGTATTAGTTCCTCTATGTGCAAGTTCATCCATGTTTACAGCAAAAAGCCATATTCAAAAGAAAATATTTTTTTCTATAAATATTGCATTTTGATCGAATCAAACTGATTCTTCATGTATCTCGCAAGTCACAAGTCACAACTACACAAATCAAGTACAAGTTAGATATAAGAGACATAGTTAACAACAAATATATTTTAAATTTAAGAAAGAATAATAGCTTATTGATGTATCCCGCAACTACAAAAATCAAGTACGAGTTAAATAGGAGGGATATAATTTTAAAAAATGAATTTTAAAATTTTAAGAATATCAATCATCATTTACCTCAGTGCCGCAAAGGCTCCCACCTACGGTGGGGTAAGGGGGGTCGGATGTACGCAGTCTTACCTTTATACTAAAGCACAAAGAGACTGTTTCCGAATGACCCATAATGAAAATCGCTTCCAAAATTGCACGGACTGACTGCTGCTTCATAACAAAAAAAGAGCAGACAGTTTGGTGAGCCATTTTGCTTTATTTCATCATATTCTCAAGTCAAAAAAATAATGAATCTTTGGCTCCATTGCAAATGATGGAAAATAAAAAAGAATAATAGCCTATTTTTTTTTATGTGAACTTGCCAAGCAATTCGAGATTCAACTCTTGGAGGACCCTTCACCAACACTTCAATACCAAGTTACTTCAACCATGAATCCTAGAAAGGGTAGCTTTCACTGACCTTTCAGGTAGGAGCAAATCCAATATGTGATATGCTCAACTCGTTAAGACCCAAAATCCAGAAAACCTAAGACAAAAATTTTCATTACTACGTAGAACTTTTTTGAGATCATCCTTCTCACCTAGAATATATATAGAGAGAGAGAGAGAGTCAATTTGATTCCAATTAGCAAAAGCGACACCAAAGATATGAATACAAGAGTTTTTTGTGCTTTTTTTAGCCTTGCATAAAGGTCAATCACTAAAGCATGTTAATTGTTAAAATCCCTTCAGCCATGAAATAGTGAAATACTTCGTACTAGAATTCAAGTTGTGAGCAGATTGGCGGTACTTTGTCCCAAGATGCCATAGGATCTGGGCAAAATAACAAGGCATACTCTGACAAATTTGTGCTGTGAGCAATTGATAGACTAATAAGGGAGCTGAAACTATCAGTAATTCTCAACTGTATCTTACTCACTTTTTAATAATCCCAAGTCTGACTACAAATGAACTGAAGTGTTTTCATTTTCAGTTCCAAGTTCTATGTAAAAAGTTCAGAATTTCATGTCTACTACCTTAAAAGGCTAAATACCGCAGGAATGTCTCATTTATTTTTGACATTCGTAACTCATAAAGAGTATAATCACTTGATTTGATAGATCAAAAAGTTACATAGGTGGAGCCATAACGTTGTTCCATCAGAGTAAATGATAACATCAGGTAAGAGTGAGCCCATAGAAAGCTTAGCTTTAAAAAAGGCAGATAAATAGCATGGCTGCAACTAGCATGGAAACATCTTTTGTTGATACAAACATAAAAATTTAGATTAAGGAATGACAACTTATAATTTCAAATTAGCCAGTAAAGTGACTATTCTTCTAAGATCTATAATTTGGTTGTGCAGGGAATACGAAGTACCAACGGATGGCTTGAGAGTGTCTAGAAGCACAGAATAATTTCTTGGAGTTGCATTTTACTTCCAACTACAGTTTGAAGATGTTACAGCTATCATCCATTTGCAATCAATACATGAAGGGTTATCTGTGATCTGTGGAGGTCAACCAACCACAACTCCAATATGCTGTCAAACATACATCAATTGCGAAGGTCATAACATGAAGTGAAAATTAATGACTCTGGCCCTTTAAATAATTATTAGAGCAGATAAGAAAAAATACAAAGTGTCTAGTTTTTGCTAGTTTCATCAGACTTCATATTTCAGACTTAATCAGATGCCATAAGTTCTTACAGAGTAGGACAGTTTCATTATAAGTCTTAAATGAAACACACTCATGTCTACCTCAAAAACATTGCAAGCTATTTCACCAACCCCACACATCTCAACAACATGGAATATGGTTAATCTCTTGATAATTGGAATCCATCGGACCATCCAAATGCATAATGCTTGGAATAATTTTAGGAAGTAGCTTAAGTGAAGGTAATCTTGCATGTGTGTCACCATTGCTTGGAAGGGAAGACATCTCATCCTCCAATGTACAATAAGCATCTGCAAATGCCTACAACAGAAGTATGCAGGGAAAACATGTTATGACTTAAGAGAACATATGATCAACTTTAGAAAATCTTGTTTCTCATCTGTCACTGAAGAGATATTTCGAAGTAGGAAAATTGATTTTAAGATGCTTCAAGAACATATCCCCCCTACCAACTTTCCGTTGGTGAAAGAGAGTGTAAAAAGAGGCGGGCTGGTTGGTTGCAATCTATGGGTTTTGGCTAACATGCAACCTCCAATCTTGTTTTACTGCTTAACAGATTACAAAACACACATGGCATGCCCAACACTGACACATTGTCCCACGGAGCAATCAATGAAACTCGTCAGCTTATTTTCACTTTCCCCTACCACAACTCATTACGTCATCGCAAGTCTTCAAATTTATAAATTAATTAACTAATTCAAAATTTACAAAAGTAACGAAAATATAAAAAAAAAAATGATCGCCTTACATTGCACACTTACATTCTCTCTTATGGGCTCTAGACTAGAGCCCATAAGATTTTGCCCCATTTGTACAAAGGGGCAAGATAAAGAACTAGTTAATCATCTATATTTGAAAGAGAGAGATAATAGGAAGATAGAGAAATATATACTCACCCATTCATGCTAACATCACAGAATTCGCATCAAAATATCATTAACTAATTGAAAGGGTGTGTATCAGCTAACCTTGATGCATTGATTTATACGAAAGCAATTCCGACCCACATTATTGGTCGGAAAAAGTGGGTCATCTATATAAATTGGATCAATGCTGCAAAAATGTGGTAGATAATGGTAAGCAAAGATTATTACCATATCAAGCCTCAGCTGATAGAACTGATAAGAGTTTTTGTTACCTGCATCCCTTTTCCCTATTTATGTATAATCCATACCATGTATTGAGATACGCATTTGACGAGGACCAAACACATTCCTAGCACAAATCCACAAAGATTGTCAATGCCTCGGATAAGATTGTGTTGAACTTCTATATGGTTTTCATTTTGTCTATACATTGGTAGGCAGGGGTGTTTCGGTCTTCAAGAGCTGGGATTGAAATAAAACAATACTCTATGTTTCTGTTTATTTGGACCACTTAATATTGTTCCTTTTATCTGTCCTTTTATGAAATTACTAGTTTTAGGGATTGAGGATTATGAGTTCGTCAGAAGAGAGCATGAAACCTGGATTTATCGGTGCAAAGTGAAGTGCTTTGGGAAAACTATCTTACACGCACTACCAATTTCAAATGAAATCACAGAAGAATTTGATTTCGCACAGGATCATTTGTTTAGCATCCCGCAATTGCTGAAGCCACTCATGAAATGGAAATCAGATAGTTATTCATATTTCATTTAAGAGCATTACGATATGCCATTTGGAGAACAGCACATGAGAAAAGAGTATATCAAGCCTATGCCCCAGATTCTTGAAATCATTCCGTATTGGAATATCGGTGTCCATTGAGAACCTGTTCATTAGAACCTGTTCAAATTTTTTAAAATTGTAAATCCAACTAATTATATAAAAAAAATTAAGAAAAAAACTAAATATAAAATTAAAGTATACTTACTTCATATACTCTTTTCTCATGTGTTGTTCTCCAAATGGCATATCGTAATGCTCGTAAATGAAATAGGAATAACTATCTGATTTCCATTTCATGAGTGGCTTCAGCACTTGCAGGATGTTAAACAAAAGATGTTGTGCCAAATCAAATTCTTTTGTGATTTCATTTGAAATTGGTAGTGCGTGTAAGATAGTTTTCCCAAAGCACTTCACTTTGCACCAATAAATCCAGGTTTCATGCTCTCTTCAGACCAGACGAACTCATAATCCTCAACCCCTGTCTCAAAAACTAGTAATTCCTGCAGGGAATATGCCGTTGCTGAATTCTTGGGTGTTTGTTCCCGATCTTTTTCAACTTCAGCACATGGTGAAAACAGGGGCGAAATTGTCCGATTACATCCGCAACAACTGGGATTCACTGGTGTTGCCGGAGGCGGCGGCGGGGGACGATGCCCAGATGACGCCGGAGACTGTTCTCGAGCCGGCGGCTTCAAGCAGCGCAGAGTCCGCTTCAAGTGTTAACGCCGGCGGCGGCGGGTTGATGGACTGCCGCCGTATACTTGCTTGCCTAGCCGCGACGGCGGAGATAGTGAGGAAGAAGCGGAGCAGTCTGTCGTCGTCATTCCGGTGCTCCCCTCGTCCGGCGACGGTTGCGGTGAACATGAGGAAGAACCAGAGGAAGACGGGTATGCCTTACAGATCTCCCCTTCATTGATGATTAATGGAGGATGGTAGAGATTAGTGATGACGTTTACAAAAAAATGGTGGGTTTAACAGATTATAAAGGAGATTGCTAATCCTTTTTTGTTGTTGCTATGATTAGATCGAAAAATTATTTAGATAGATCTTAACATTGCAGCAGTAGCCAGTAGAGTGTTTGTATTTTTGACGTCATTGGATTAATTAAAACTCTCTTAGCACTTGCAGTAATTGTTATCAAGGAATTATATATTGTAGATTTCATGTGGATTATTAAGTACGGGGTATAATATTTTGGGGAATATCATCTTGTGGATTATTAACCCATTTATTTATGTGGTTTATTAAAAAAACTATTTATGTGGTGAACTTGAAAGCTATAATAGCAAAAGGTAGGGATGGCAATGTGGCGGGTTTGGGGCGGGGTACACTCCCTCATCCCCACCTCATGTCTAAAAAGTTCCTCCCATCCCCGCCCCATCCCCGTTACTCCCAGACCCGCCCCACCCCATTGTCCCCCACGGGTGCCCACGGGTGCCCCCATATAAATTTAATTTATCGTATTTGCATATACACTTTTTTTTGCAAGATTTACATATACTTTTAATCTCTTATTATAAATATATGTAGTGCGATTCTAATGAAAACAATGCTTAACGTGGGAACACTCACGTTTAATCCAATATGATACACAATAATCCAATGTGATACACCATAGAGTCATTCTAGTGCACATTTGGACTTCGCTCAATACAAGCTAATATAAATAATCACGGTGACAGTTTTGTAAATATTATGCTAGATACAAAAAAGTGCATTGTGCAAGCCCATTGTGCTTCACATTGGGGGTAAATGTGGTGTTCGCACGTTCTCATGTTAAACGTTATTCTCATTTGATCCTAAGCCTATATATATCTACGTGCACACAGTGATATATGATACACACACAAACCACACACGCAACACTGAAGTATTGTGTTTGTTAAAAGTTAATACCACCAATTTTAATAATTCTTCAATTTGAATAAGTTTTGTGAATTGAATACAATTAAAGTAAAAATATAAGTAAACATATTATCATCATGTACATTGTTTCAAAATTCTCAACAATTATAATACAATTAATTACATATTATATTACATATAAATGTTTGTGTATTTATTTACACAAACAATTTAATTTAATATGTGTGTACATGATACGGAGTAACATTTATGATAAATATTTTTAATCATCACTAGCTTAGGATAGCTTAGACAAAAATCCTCCTATACACACGTTAAAACTCATATACGGAGTAACATTTATGATAGATATTTTTAATCATCACTAGCTTATTATTATTCTAGTATAATACAGTATGTATTAATTCATTAATCATGATTAAACCGTATATAATTATGTATGTTTGTATGTATATGCGTTTGTCATATACTACAAATAATTTAATTTAATATGTGTGTATGATTTATATATGTGTATATATATGTTTGAGTATATATTTATAACGGGGACGGGGCGGGGATGGGGCGGGTGTAGCAATACTCGTCCCCGCCCCATATTTTAACGACGTAAAAATATTTCACTCATCCCCGCCCCAAGCCCCGCCCCATCCTTCCCCCGCGGGGCGGTTCCCCACGGGTCCCCGCCCCCATTACACTATGCTGCCGTGCTCACTCAAAAGTTACTTGGAGTAATCTGTAACTTCCCTTTTGTTGTATACTGAGTATGAGTTTGAGTTTTACACTATTTTGATGACAAATTCTGTTTTGGGGCCAAGTGTCCCGCTGATTCAGGAGTAGTATTTCAATAAAAAGTTTGTGTCCCTCTATCTAGACAAAAACTACCATGTATGATATAAAGTGATAGTTCCATCAAATAAAAAGCATATGCTAATTGTAATGAGAAATGTAAACTATCACGGAGTTGTGATGGAGTAGTTCCTTGGAGTTAGACAAGTTACTAATATTGTTATTATACTCTTTTTGAAAAGTAGCATTGATAATTTTTTTGTTAAGTAATATTTGTTCAAAGTTAAAGGTCAAAGATATGACAAAACTCTAACATGGGATGACCATTATGGATTGAAGGCTCTTATCATGAGCAAAATTTCGTTCACAATATACATCCAATGTTTTTCTCACTAATTGCAATTACTTTTGTCAAGAATTTTGCATGAATTAGTAAATTTTTGTCAAATTTGAGCTAAAATTGTGCAAAAGTTGTTAGGCACGAAAAAATATCTCAAAATCTTGACAAAAAAATGTGCAATTCGTGATAAATTAATGTCAGACCCTTTGATTTTTCGTAATAATATGATAAAAGCTCGACATGGTAATATTATACTTTGTATATTTTAAACAAGTATCAACAAATTTTGTGGCACGGCGTTTAGCGTTACACATCATGATTCAAGTTTAGAACCGAAATCCTGACCATTTTATGGTATGAAAATAATAATTCTAATTCAAAATCAGAAATGGCCCCAAGACGGTTCATTTCTAATCCAAAATACTCTCTATGTCCCATTTTAGATAGTCAAACTTGACTTTTTTATAACAATGACTGATTATATATTTATATACAAAAGTATTGATAATATCAAAATGTTATTTGTTAAAAATACTATCATAAAATTATTAAATTTTGCATAACTGCATTAGTTAAAATAAATGGTCAAAGTTCATCATCTTTGATTAGAAAAGTCAAAGATGACTAAATAAATGGTCAAAGTTCATCATCTTTCTATCAAAAAACTTTAATAATACTGTTGAGAATTTTCTTAATGGGTTCAAAACTAGACTTTTACTTCATAAATGTACATTACCTGAAACCGACATTGAATAATCTGCACGGACTAGACGTAATAGACCGGTGACCACTCGATCCCAACCTGACAAGACGTGTTCCCACCCGTGTGCCAGTGCCCCTCCTTGAGAAAACTTCTGAATCCGCCACTAACCTCACTTATCAATTATTGTACGCGGAATTGACACAGATAATTCATACTTTTACTCATCTTACAAAAATAGTTACACTTGGAAAAAATGTTAATAATAATTCTAACTAATTAAATGTTTCACAAAAATAAATGGGAAGAGTCTTCAATGCAATTTCTCTTTGTCCACCCACTATTGAGCCTCGACCGGCTTACGTTGGGGAACATCCCTCTTTCTCTAGAGCTCCTCGTTCTTCTTGTTAGCGGTACAAAATGTTGTAGTCAACTTGATCCAAAAAACAAGTGTTAGTAAGCAAGCTAGGTAAAAAACAAGGCTAGCAGATGGGAACAAAGCTGGGTAATTAAGGGCCGGAGACCAGTGAATGATAAGGACTCCCGACCATCGGACAACACTAAGGATGAAGTGAAATCCGCTGCTAATGCTACCTCCACGATCACAAGGATACATCAAATGACTTAAATCCTAGTGCTGATATGACCCAGCTAATGTAGATCAGCCGGGGATTATTTACTTACTCATGGGGTCGGCTAACCCATTAACATA